TTAGGCGAAGCCTTAAAAACCGAAAACGAAAAAAAATCGCGTATATTTATTTTTGTGGTGTGGATTCATTCTAGATTGATAAGGTAGCCCCAACCATCCACTAATTGAACAATTATTATACAAGAACCAATCTATAAAATTATTGGGTACACTTTGCATTTAATCACTCATGTTTCACTTAGTTTATATTTTAATCATCAAATTTTCAAAAATTTTGGTTTTCTCACTCACTTTTTATTTTCATTTTTTCATTACTTGATCGTGGACTGTGTATCGTCATTTAATATTTTTGACTAAATTTATGCAAAAGCTTATGAAACTTATTTATCACTATTTTTTTTTTCAAATTCAAACAATATAAAGATCAAGAAGGAGAAGAAAAACAATATTCATAGACTTTACGATGAGCGGACAATGGAGATTGTGACTTGAACCAAGATAAAATCAAAGGTTTGATTCGTATTTTGTTGAGTTGAGATAGAGTGACAATTTTTTTTATCAGGATTAAGAAGAAAAAATGTTGAGTTTGAGTGAGAAGCTTAAAGTAGGTTATGATCCACTTACATAATGTAATTTTTTTTTATAGTTTTACACATATTTAGGATAGTTGAATGAGTTAAAATAGAAGATTGAGATTAACCCCTTATTTTTTTAGTGAATATATTCTCATTTCATAGTGTTAATCTCAATCTTCTATTTCCAGTCATCCAACTATCATAAATCATTGTAAAACTAAAAGAAAATTATATTATATAATTGGATTATATATATATATAGGTTTACGATCCAACTATACAATATAAAACCCTTTAGATTTACATAAATTTAGGACTATTAGATTAGTGAAAATAGATGGCTGAGATTGACTCATTGTTTTTTTTCTTCTAGTGAATATATTATCATTTTCTACTGTTAATCACAACCATCTATTTTCAATCATTCATAAATTTATGTAAAACTAAAAAAAAAATACATTGTTGTAACAAGATCATATCCCGATATATATAAGAGTCAACATTGTATTTTGAGATTAGGATGTTGATATATCCGTTGGCCGCCCATGGTCGGCCCCCATTTGGACCGGCAGAAGGTGGCCAAATTGATTTAGTTAATTTATGTGCTATGGTTTGAAGGTTTTGTATGCTTTTCATGAGATTTCACACATGATGGACCGACAAGGGAGAATTAGTTGAATTCATGAATACATAAATGATTCATTCCAATTTCATGTGAATTTCATTATTTGTAGTTATATATATATATATATATTATCAATATTTTAGTAGTTAAATTTATTAATATAATTTCATTTATAATTCACATATCGATATTGAATAAAAGATCAAATGATTTTTTTACGGAGAAATAATTTTTTAATGCATAAAGATTAATTTTATTTATTTTTAATAGAGGGGTTAAAATGCAATATCTGATAATAGTATAAGGACTATTATAGACTACTAACTCCATATCTATTTTGTAAATATATGTAAATCTGCATGAAGTGTAAACAAATTATTAAAATATCAATGGTACAAAAAGGTAAACTACATCAGATACCACCGAATTTTAGGTCTTAATCATTTATATAATTACATTTTTAATTTTACCAATTATGACATTGAACTTTAATTTTTGTTTCAATTATACCACTGAACCATTAACTCGTTAACGACTCAATAACACGACTGGCAACTGCTGGTGTAGCTGATAACTGTCAACGTAGGCACCTCACTAAAATTATGTCATTTTGATATGATTGTTAACGATTTATCGACCCATGGATATAATTAAAACGAAAATCAAAATTCAGTGCAATAATTGATAAAATTGAAAGTTCAGTGGTATAAATAATACAATGCCTAAACTTTGATGATATCTGCTATAGTTTGCCCCAAAAATATCAAATGTACAAAAATTTAAGAAAATATTTGTCACACCACCACATGAGCGGAAGAAAAATATTATATAAGAAATATATATATTATAAAATCCAATTAATAATAATAATTGAAAAAAAATATATATGTAAAACTTATTTAACATGAGTTTGATAATTAGAAATATGATTTATGTAACATCCTCAATATCGGGTTAGTGATCAAATTGTAAAGTTTTAGAATTGGGTGACTAGAGTAGAACCATGGATTAGTTCAATGATTTATTTGGAAATAAATCATAAAAGTTGTTAGTAATTATAAGATGAATTGAAGGACAAAAGGGTCATTTGGCAAGGAAGATTTTTTATTTTTCTTATAAGATAAGGAAATCACGTGGGAATAGATAAAAGGTTCCAGAGTTATTTTCTCTTCTCTTCTCTTCTCTTCTTCCTTTTTTATACGTGAAGGCTTGACTCAAAGGTGAGTTTCTTGGTTTATTGATTAATAATTGATTTTAAGGTTGGGTTATGATCATTAGATGATAATTAAGCTTAAGGAAAGCTTAATTTGTTCTAAAACAACAAGATGAAAGATATAAAAGAGATTAAAGAAAATGAGTTTTTAGATGAATTTCTGTAAAAGAGTTAATAAGTGGATTTTGAGAAGGAATTTGACTTGTCATCACTAAGAATAAGAAATATATGAAGTTAGAAAGTATTAATAACAAAGTTGAAAGTTTAGTAAGATTCTTAAATTTTAAGAATCATGATGAGATATGGAAGATAAATATGGTTTACATGGATATAAGTTGGTTTAAGTAATGGTAGACGAATTTAATGACATAATAGGGGCTTAAAATAGAAGAATTGAATGAAGAATTGATGATTTTCGGGTTTAAAATGTAAATTATGGGCAAGGTGTATCGATGCATATTCAATGTGCATCGATGCACTCTTTAAAGAAGAAACATCGAATGCAATTGGTGCATCGATGCATCCCCTTAAAATGAAAACATCGAAGGTGATTTGTGTATCGATGCATGGGTAGTGCATCGATGCACATGTTAAATAATGCATCGATGCACTTCAAGGGGAAATCGAAATAAACCTTTCTTTTGGTCTAAGAAATGATAGATTAGAGTATATTAATTGGATACTAATATGTATCAATGTATGATTATGTAGATATCGAACACGAACAAGTTCCGGTATGATCATCAAGTTAAGATTCGATCGAAAGAAATGAAATCATAAAGGGGATCGAAACTTAGTGAGGCCAAGGTGAGTGCATCTTATTGCATAGGATTATATGGAAATTGACTTGCGATAAGTCTATTCTGATAGTATAGTACATGAAGTATGTGATTAATATGAAATGTATGTATGCTTGATAGAATGAGTGTATATGTGCTATGTGAATATAGGGTTATGGAATAAAGTATGTAATACTAAAATGTTATTTGAGTTACTTAACAATAAGTCATAAGATTACAGGCATAGGTAACATAAGTTATAAGATAAGAAAATATATGTTTACATGTTTTTGCGGATATATATATATATATATATATAAGATATGATATATGTTTATGTAAAACCATGCAAAATGATATGAGAATGAGATAAAGAGCCCTGTGATATATGACATGAGATATATGAAAGAGAAAGTATATATGACAAGTGAAAGTGAATCATATGATTATATGAAGATGGGAAACGATATAAAGATATTGCTCATGTTATGTGTTATGAGATCTAGAGATATAGTTTGCATGCCAAGAGTCGAGGGTCTACGCGGTCCTTCGGGACACAGTGATCCTTCGGGACATTTCATAGTGGTCCTTCGGGACAAATTTCATAGCCCCTAGTGGGACCCCATACGAGCTGTGGTGATAGCATAGTGCTCAACCTCAATAAACTCACATATCTACAGTTCTCGCATGTATGCATGGGCTAAAATAAAGGATATAATATGAGAAAAATGTTATGTGATACTATATGTTTGTTTGGTAAAATGACGTGTATGTATGTGAAAGTATGATGATAAGATGATAAAGTTATGAAGTGAGGGATGATATGTGAGCATATGGATAATTATTTTATAGATGAACACATGAAATGTGTATAGTAGGAATTAGTATATGTATATGTGGGTATGGTGCTTGTATGTGATATGTTAGTAGAAATTGTTCAAGCATTATTACGAGTTAGAGTTTTATTATATGTTTTATGCCTTACTAAGTCAACGACTTAGCGTGTGATTGTCTCCCACGTAGGTATGAGAAACGAGAGGGGAATAGCGATAAGCAAGACATGTCAGTATTTTCCTTACGATGATCAGATCAGAAACATATTGAACATATGTATTTTGTTTATAGAGTTAGTTGACATGTAGTTATAAAATTTTAAATTGAACATGCTTTGATGGTTTTAAAGAAACAATTTGATTGTAATTATTAATGTAAAATACTCATTTTCTTAAAGGATGAAATTAATATTTTAGTGGATTTTTAAAGAACAGAGTTTTAAAAAGTCAATGTGATATCTCAGACTCAGATACGGGTTGGGGTGTTACAATTTATATATATATATATATATATATATATTATTTTTAAAATAATAATTATAGTTTAAGTTTTATTTTGATACACTATCGTTAAAAATTTAATGATGACATTGATATGTCACCATAAGATAATGTTGTATCGTTAAAAAAATTAAAAAATATCATATCAATAGTTTTATTAATTTTTAATAACGGAATACTAAGTTGAAACATAAATTAAACGTTAAATATGGTTAAAAAAAGTAAAATTTAAGTATTAAAACAGAATATAAGTAATAATTTATAAACTAAAAGCGGACTTTACCTCTTTTTTAAAAAATGTAAAATAAAAATGATGCCTTCAATAAAAAATGTAATAAGAATAAACAAATGGGCACCCTTGCCCAAAAGGGAAAGGGCAAGTGTTAACTATGCTACCTTACTGTTAACACGTTCCTATCTTCTCCTTTTTTTTATTGTTTCTTCTTCCTTTCACCTTTACTTCTCTTCTTTGTCACCAATCTCTCTCTCTCTGTCTCGAGATCAAATTCTATTTTATTTCCTCTCCATTTCTCTATACTGCCGTTCTCATTTTCTTCTTCAAAGTTCAAATCTTTTCACCCTTATTTAACACATCTTTATCCAATGCAGTCTCGTTGATGTTTTCTTATATCATCAATAATTTCCAAGAGTGGAAAAACCCATCTTTTTGAAGTTTGTTTTGGTTTTGTTTCACTGAAGAAACCTCCTGAATTTCTGTAAATTTCTGGGGGAAAAAACGTTGGTTTTAAGAGAAGAAAACAAGGGGGAAAATAAACCATGTTGAATCTTAACCTTGAGATGGTCTCAAGTGAGTCATCTTGTGATGAGAACATCATCATCATCAACAACAACAACAAGATGAATTTAACTCTAATGGAAGATTCAGGTTCTTCAAAATCTTCAATCATCAACGAAGAAGATGTTCCATTATCCAATGCAAAAGATGAGGACTCCTTCAACGACGCTTCCCCGGCATTCGTTTTCGATATCTTAAAGAAGGAAAAAGACGATGCTACAATTGCTAAAACGGTAGAAAACCCTTCGCCGGACTTCGTTTCTCGACAGGTTTTTCCGGTCACTGGAGTAAAAACGGGTCTAGAGTTGGAGTTCGGAACAAAAGCTTTGGCTAGTAGTAGACCCCAATGGTTGAATTTATCTTATGCTGAGTCCACCGGTAAGGCCGAGCTGACGACTGCTCCGATAAAGCCACCACCTAGGAAGAGCCGGCGAGGGCCGAGGTCCCGGAGCTCACAGTACCGCGGCGTCACATTTTACCGGAGAACTGGCCGGTGGGAATCACATATATGGTAATATATATTCATATACAAATATCTAAATTTTTTAAACTATTTTTAGTAATATTCAAATGTAAAATTATTCTAATTGTTCTTGTTTCTTTGTGAATAGGGATTGTGGGAAGCAAGTATATTTAGGTAATTTAAATGATTTATTTTGGTTGAGAAATTGAAGATTTTTTCGAATAATTTCATGCTTTTTGGATTCTTTGTTCTCTGTATTGCAGGAGGATTTGACACTGCCCATGCTGCCGCCAGGTGAGATATTCTTTGCTGATAACTTGTTTATATGTATCATATCTGGTTTAAAATTTTAATAAATTCTTGATCTTATTTAGAGCATATGATCGAGCTGCAATCAAGTTCCGGGGAGTTGATGCCGATATCAACTTCATTTTGAGCGATTACGACGAAGACATGAAACAGGTAGAAGACATAGCATGATCTCTGCAACTTTTTGTATGAATCTATAACTTGATTTTGGTTGTAAATCGTATTTATCTGCAGATGAAGCACATGAGCAAAGAGGAATTCGTGCATTCTCTTCGTCGACAAAGCAACGGATTCTCGAGGGGGAGCTCCAAGTACAGAGGGGTAACTTTGCATAAATGTGGTCGATGGGAAGCTCGAATGGGACAATTCCTCGGAAAGAAGTGAGAATCCGATTCACCAAAGCTTTCTTCTATTTGATCTTTTGGTTGTGGTTGTATTGTGTGTCAATAGATGATCGAGATTAGGCTTTTAGTTACAAACTTATCGTGTCATGGTAAGGGGGGTAAAGATTGTATAGGGTGTGAAATTAATGATCCTTGCTTGCAGGTATATGTATCTTGGATTATTCGACTCTGAAGTAGAAGCTGCAAGGTCTTTTATGATCATAGTTTTATGTTTCGAGACTTTGATTTGATGAAATATGACTGATTCTCATGATTTTCGGTTTTCGGTTTCTGATTTTAGGGCTTATGATATGGCTGCCATGAAATGTAATGGAAGTGAAGCTGTGACCAACTTTGAGCCAAGTACTTATGAAGGGGAGACTACAAATAGTGGAGGTATTTACAGATTTTTGAGTCTGTTATTGTTATTTAGAACGAGTTCATTTGGTGATGAATTTTCCGTTGCATTTGATGCAGCCAATTATCATCACAATCTCGATTTGAGCCTCGGGATTTCAGCACCTTCGGTCGCTCAAAGCGGGAGCCATTTTCATAACGCTGCTAGCACAGGAGAGAGGCTGCAGTTTGAGAGTTCTGCTTCTGCATCTGTGGGCGGACAACCTCAACACAATCTAGCATTTGTAGCTAAGCACCCTCCGATGCTGTCCGGTGTTTACCCCGGTGCTCTTTTACCGTACAATGAGGCACTTCCCTTCGTTTGATTGGCTTCCTCGCCCGTTATTTCCACAATGTTGGACGTAATGAATGAATGATGTTATGATGTGACAGGGAAGGGCAATGCAGAAGAGAGCTGAAGCTGTTCCGTCGTCGACCGGATTCTCGAACTGGGGATGGCAAATGCAAGGGGATCGTAAAATTAACCCAACCCCGGTGTTTCCTACAGCAGCATCATCAGGATTCTCTTCGTCCACCGGCATTGCTTCATCGACTATTCTCCCGTTTAATGATTCCGGATGAAACCTTTGCCTTGCAACACCGGCTACGTCCACGAATAACACTTCTCATTACTACAATTACAGGAGCACTTTACGGAAACTTTTTGTAATGCCTCATTGTGTAAGTTTGATTAGTAAAACGAGTGAAAGCTGTAACAATTGTAGTAAATCCATGGAGTTTGCATTTGTTTCAAGTGTGTAATACAAGAAAAACACCTTGTACTTGTTGACGTTGCAGCACTTAAAAGTTCTTGCTCTCGTAACATTTTCGTGGTCTCGATGTTATGAAATGTTATAAAGTCCTTATCACTCGAGAAATTCGAAATAACACTGAGGTTAATTAAGTCGGATTAGTCCGGGGTGGAAAGAAAGGCTTCTTTAGAACAGTGATTTGGAGATTGAAGAATGAGTGGTGTAAAGAAGCAAGCAAAGAAGAGTTGAGACTTATGATGATGTTGGGGTCCCCCATAAAAAGGAAAGGAAAAGAAGACAAGACTTTGGATTGTAGCAATCAATATTTACAAGATTGGAAACTTTAAGAGATGTTACGATACTCAGGAAGGTAACATGTAAAAAGAGAACGACTGGAAAACAACAATACTGTGATTTACCTGAAAATTTCTAAAAAAGAAAATTACAATCATATCAGAGAAATTCAATATAATATCGAAACTACAAGTATTTGTTACTACAAGACTCGCATGAATTCAAAGGTTTCTTGGATTACCTCTGATCCATGGACGTGTTACCAAAGCTACGTATAGTGAGATTGTTGATAAAGTGAACTCGAGGTTAAGTGGTTGAAAAGCTAAATCCTTGAGTCTACTGGGACGAACCGCTCTTATCAGCTCGGTTACGTCGGCTATATCAACTTCCACGGTAATGATGGCTCGATTGTCGGCTGGTACTATTAAAGAAACTGACCTTGCCAATCGTATATCTCTATGGGACGATAGTGAAGGGAAACGTGCTCAACGTTTGATTGCTTGGGATGAAGTATGCAAGCCGAAGTGAGATAGGGGTTTGGGGCTCCGACAGATGAAAAAGCACAACTATGTCCTCCAAAAAAAACAATGCGTTTCTTATGTAAACCCGATAACATATGGGTTAAAGCGTTCAAATCCTTATATGGAGTTAATGATGACCCGCTCATGTACGCTATGAATCAGCCCCGTAACAAGCCGTTGTGGTCTCATACCTGGAGGGGATTGATATATGGCCTTCAAGGATTAGCTGATGGTATGATATGTCAGATTGGAAATGGGGAAGATACCTCGCTTTTGAAGGATAATTGGTTGGGGCAATCTATTTGTGAGTTCAAAAATGTTTCTGCTACACTTGTGGAGGATTCGACAATAGTAAGTGAATTTATAACTGCTGATAAGATATGGGATTTGGAGAAAATTTTTGCGCAGCTTCCTATGGAGGTAGCAAGTAAGATAATGATATATCTGATACCGAAATTCTCTTCCATGCAAGACTCTCATTGTTGGAAACATTCTGCTAATGGGATTTTCACGACTCGATCAGTGTATATTTCGTTTCTTTGTGAGGATAATGGAGAGATGGAAAACCGATTCGAATCACAAACTTTAACAAAAGAAAAAGAAAACAATCTTTTCTCAATCCTATTCTCTCACCAAAATCCCTTTATCTTTGATCAACCTATCCCTTGACTCCTTGTCTTGTCTCAATCAAGGTAAACCGGCCGATTATTTCTGCTTTCTTTCAAACATTACATAAACAATATTTGTATCAAATATTTATTCGCATTCGATCTCAAATCCGAATAATATAGGTCCAACGAATAAACTTGATGTCCCAATTTACTCATACAGGACCAAGTTGGTTGAGATGTTACAAAAAGGTCCTCAATCTGCTTTATTTTTTAAAAATGAAACCCTATGCTCCAAGCTTCTATATTGATTACTCTGCATTAAATTCAACCTACCAGGCCCAACTTGTATCCCCACAGAGCTCCAAAATCTGATTGTACACTCGAAATTGATGGCTCTTGTAGGGGACCCATTAAATGCTAAAATGCAATATTTTCTTTGTATTTCAGACCCAATAAATGTATGGCTCTTTTATTATGACATATTTATATTTAATTCCAACTTAAATGGTATTTATTTCATATGTGTATAGAGTTGGTACGTGACTAGATTTCCTATAAAATTTGGTAAAATTGCTATTTTTTGGAACTAATGCCAATGAATGTGTAATCTGATGAGACTAGCATCTTTACTATTTAAGGCATCAGTAAAATTACATTTAAAAGTCATAATGAGCTATACTTATGATCATTTAATTATGAAAAGATTTTAATATGATTATTAATTTTAAATTTTAAGTGAATGTGAATTTAGTTTTTGATCCACCTGAACTTGATTTGATAATTATAGTCCTCTATCCACACTTGACCTAGATTTATGAGGGCTCCACCTGACTCAAAATGTGACAAATTTTTTGAGGTACAAACATACATTCAATCTGCTTCGATATGACGCATATAATTATTTTTGTTAAATAAAATAAAAATCTAACTAAAAATAATAATATAAAGATGAGTATTAATATAATTATTCCTAAATATATAACTAATAACTTGAAACTGGTCGGAAACTCGGGGGGAAGAAGCTGATCATCGAGGTCGACAACAAGGTCTGGGAAACCTGCAATATGCTCTGATCGGACGGATTTGGAAGCAACAGTATGTTACTACATAGCTGGAATGATTTGGAAAGACTGGGAGATTGAAGCAACGCACATTTTTCGAGAGGAAAACATAGTTGCCGACGGAAGGACCAAACTGTTCCGGGACACAGAAACAAGAAGCTGTAGAATGGACACACCTCCAGAAGCAGTCTATAACTTCTCGTTACAGGAAAAGGTGATAGAGTAGGTTGGTATAGTAGTTGAGTTTGTTTTCTTCATTTACCGAAAAAAATAATATTATGTAGGGTTACGATGCAATTTTCTTAATAAATCACCGGTGATCGATATATTTATCGATCTAACACCGATTATATTATATTTCTCGATCTAACACCCGTAACAGTAAAGTGCGTCTCCTGAACCGCGCTATACGCTGATTTAGCTCTACGTGGATATAACGCGCGCCCTTCCCCGCGATATACGGTGATCTGGCGCCACGTGAGTATAGCGCGCCCCTAATCCACGCTATACCTAGATATCTGACACGTGAGTATATCCCAACCTTTCACGTCCCTATCCTCACTATAAATACACTCATCCTCAATCACTTTTATCACACTAAATTCTCTCAAATTCTCTAAATTTCTCTTAAATACACTATCTTTTTAAGGTATATTTTATAATATTTGTACTATTATGTATTTACTTTATTTAATATTTTATTAATATAATTCTTTTGCAGATATATAATGGAAGACAGTCTACTTTACTCGGATGGAAATCATATATCTCTACACTTTACTGATACGGTAACATTTTAATGTTTTAATTTAATTTAAATTATTAGTAATATTTAGTTGATTTATTTAATGCATGATTATTATATAAAGAATTAAATATCTCGACACTTTGCTGATACGGTAACATTTTAACGTTTTAATTTAATTTAAATTATTAGTAATAATTAGTTGATTTATTTAATGCATGATTATTAAATTAAGAATTAAATATCTCGACACTTTGCTGATACGGTAATATTTTTAACGTTTTAATTTAATTTAAATTATTATTAATAATTAGTTGATTTATTTAATGCATGATTATTAGAGTAAGAATTAATTTTTGTAATTATTTATTTTTAGGAGAAGGACCGTGTATTAGATCCTTTTATTAGGAATCTTAAGTTAGTGATACCCAGCCGTGTCTTGCTGTATTTAGTAGAGGCTAGATTCAGTTACATAGGTAGATATCAGGGTCACTGTAAGATAGAGTCATACCTGATTTCTGCCTTAGTAGAGCGATGGAGGCCAGAGACCCATACATTCCATCTTCTGTGCGGAGAGTGCACGATTACGCTTGAGAATGTTTCTATGCACCTGGGGCTTCCGGTGGATGGAGATGTGATATCGGGGATAACTTCCGGTTCTTGGACTACTTTGTGTCGGGATAGTCTAGGATGTGTCCCGGAAAATTTTACCGAAGGTAGGATACCGTTAAATTGGTTAGATGCCAATATTCGGGAGTTGAGCGCAGACGCCTCTGAGGATGAGGTTAAGATGTATGTACGGGCATGCATACTGTAGTTGATAGGAGGGTTGCTGATGCCGGACAAATCGCGCAACCTAGTTCACTGCATGTGGTTGCGACATCTTAGCGACTTTCGTCTCGCCGGATCATTCAATTAGGGCTCGGCAGTTTTGCCTTAGTACAGGGATATTATTCTGCTACTTCCAACATGAATCTTCATCGAAATCTTCGTTATCAGCTCCTCAAGAGTTATGTTTCTCTTTAATGATATTTTAACATACTCATTTGATACGAAAACAACGCCGATTTCATCTTCTCGAATTTCACCATTGTAATAAACAATAGCTGAAAATCGCGCCATTATTTGAGTTTAAAAGTGAGGTAATATTATATCTGCAAAAAAAATAACTTAAACAAACCTGATTAAATAAATTATATATGAACGAAAATATAACACAAAATTTTTTTACACATCAACGTAAATAATTTAAATAATATAATTTTTATATTATTACCTGCACCGCAAAACTATTTCGACGTATGCTCCCGCTTTTCAATTTTACAAACATAAAAATTAATTAAAAATAATTATTATAATATTTTTTCAAATAATGATAATAAACAATAAGTATAATTAAAAAATTATAACAAAATTACCTTATAACGAAAAATCGCACGAACTTCTAAATCAAATATAAGAAGATTGTCAGAATTATTACCCGTTGACGGAATTATTGTATTAATTTATAAGAGATGAGAGATGCGAGGAGATGTGAGGAGAGATGCGAGAAGATGTGAGGAGAGATGCGAGAACCGATATTTATAAACATATAAGGCGCGATATCTGCACCGCGTTATATGTAATTATTATATAGCGCGGATCAGGGACCGCGTTAAATATAATTTTGGTACGGCGTATAGCGTGGCCCCTGATCCGCGCTATACCCCTACGTGGCGTATAGCGCAGAGCAGGGGGCGCGTTATACCCCACGTGTAACCCAGTCAGCGTATAGCGCGGTACATGGGGCGCACTATACTCCACGTGACGTCAAATCAACATATAATGCGGT